GGCCAAGCAGCCTTGGAGGCCCTTCTGTCATGCCCCAGAGCCCTTCTCAATGCACCTCTTGGCACTCCAGAGCAAACAGGGCCACACAACTCGAAAAGCCCCCAGTCAGCTGAGCAGCAGCTTCTGCTCATGTCAAGAGTGAGCGAGTGTTGAATCGAAGGGGGAACTCCTCCCCAGATGCTTCTCTTCTGTTCATGCTCTGGGGTGGCTGCCATGGCTGAACAGCCTGCGCACGCTCCACACGGCAGCTCATCTCTCCCCGTGCCCAGACCTGGCTAGTTCCAGCCCAGCACCTCTGCGCCTTTAAGAGAGAAGAGCTGCAGCACTGGCAGCACCTCCCACATGCCCTGGCTGGAACTCCTCTTCACACAGAGGACCCTGGACAAGGACCGCCAACTGCCCCATCCAGGTCTACACCCCAAATACAGAGACCTGAGGGGAAAAGCCAGTCAGGCTGGGAGTTGCGAATCACAGGCTGAGCATGAGCCAGAGATGCCATGAGGCTGCAACAAAGGCCAATGCAGTTCTGGGCTACACTTCCCCGTCGCACGGGCCACCTCCGCTTAGCCAGGTGGCAACTGGACTCGGGCCCACGGGGCTCTCTCTGCCCGAAGGAACGGAGTACAAGCTTGGAGAACCTTGGTGCACCCAGGCTAAATGACTTTGTGCATAGTTTGGTTAAAATGTACATATTTTTCTGGGAAGGAAGGTTTATGAAGTCTGATCAAAGATCTTTGATCTAAAAAAGTTTGATGGCATCTTTAGAAATACATCAAGGAGCCCGTCTTTCTGCTATTATGTTAACTTCGTTGCTCGTGCTTTATTATCTTTGTTGATTGTCCTTTTACTCTTTCTTCTTAAAAGAGGAGAACGGGGGCAGGCGGAGCAGACACACGTCCTGACACAAAATAAAAATCAAAGGAATACTGTCCTGCTAATTAACTGCATCCGTTTTCCATACCTCTGTCGGCTTCGTTTCTGAGCTATAATCTAGAGAAATAACTTGGCAGAGAGAGCGACCCGACAGACCCTGACATCGTCCAAGAGTCCACTTTGCAGAGATTCCCACTGTCCAGAGCACACTGACCTTCAGGAACAGAACTGGAGAGAAACCCCCTGTCCCCTTGCAGAGGGCAGAAAACTGGAACGAGCTGAGCTGGCTGGCCGGCCTCCGAGGTCAGAAAACCGACCCCGATAAATGTGGAAAGGAGGTGATGCAGTGCGTGGGGAGGGAACAAACCGAAGAGGGCAGGGTGCAAGAGATTCTGAGCTGACTCCTTCTCCTTTGCCCTGCTAAGTGTTGTTGCTATTTGGGTTGGAACCCGCCCCCCCCCCATCTGATGAAAAGTGCAACCACCAGGGGAGGGAGAGAAGCAGAGAAATTGGCTCTGCTGTTCGCCCTACCCTGTCAGCTTTGGCCCGGCAGAACCTTGGATGCTCAGGAACCTCCGGATCCAGAGACCTTTTTCTTGCAAGCGGGCAGCCTATAGGATCGGGCCCGTTGCCATTGCTGCCACATGGGAAGGAGCATGAGCATGTCAGCCTGCACACACCAAGCTTGTTGCAAAGCCCATTTTGCACCTGTGAAGGTGAGTACAGGGTCCACGCTGGTTATATCTGCATCATTTTTAAGCACGTTAGCAGAACTGAGGTTGAACTATCTTCTCAGCCATAAACTTGCCAGACAAAGTCATTCCCTCTCATTTATCTCAAGGAGCAGGTCACCCTAGAACTGAGAACACTGAAAAAAAATGTTAAACACAAGCCACCTGTGCAAATCTTCTAATTTAGTCACTCTTTCTCCATTTTTGACTCTGTGGGATGCCTGCCTAAAATCCATCTTAATCAACATAAAAAGTCTTGCCGTATTTCAAAAGACTAATAAATTCATTACTGACATAGACCTCCCAGGACTACTAGATACATGATGTCTTTAGAAGATAATGGATGTTCATTTAGTTGCTTCAAGAAGTGGTAAGCCAGCAAACTGAGGCCCTCCTGCTCATTTATACACATAACAAATCAATAAATTTTGTTCAGGGGAGCCCCAGCCTCCTGCCTTGATAGCATCGTTGCCAAAATCCCATCCATCTTCCACCAGCGCCATCCACATAGGCCCACCATTTTCCAGCCGACTCAGACCAAAACTTTGTCCATCTGATAATTGCATTCTGGTAATGATGAACTTGTGTCATAATGAATTGGTCTGTCTGTGAGACGTAATGGTCCCATTGCTGCTTTTGCAACACAAGGCTAGATTTCTAGAGTTTGTTTCTATTATGTGGGAGCTCTTGGGGTGATTATGCTTCAGGGTCTACAGGAAAAAACCAATACGTGCCATCTCAGAAGCAAGTCTGATTGTGTTCCTGTTCCAGTAAGTCCACCAGACCATGGCCACAGTCTCCTACCAAAAATAAAACTCTCTCTGCGATGCAGGAAGTAACATCTTGGCTCTAATTCGAGCGATCACTGACATAAAATGGATACACTCCCCACAATTTCACAGGCTGGTGAAACTCTTGTTAAACTTTCCCTGGCACATTGGCAGGTCAATTCCATTTTTCTAGTCTAGCCTAAAATGAAACCTTCGGGGTTTCTAAAAGAGTTGGAGCGCAAGAGTATGATGTGAGGATTAATAGGCAGGTGATGATGGGCGCCTTCAAATACACTGAGCATGATCACAGCCACCAGAGTAAATTTGTTCTCTGTGGCTCAAGAGGGCAAGAACAAAACTGACCACTTCAAATTACACAGAAGAACATTTCAGCCAAAGCGTGATAAAAACATGTCCTGATGGAGGAAGCAGAAGGTGGTGGAATTTCTTCCACTGGAGGTTTGTAAAGTGCAGGGGCTTTAAGCAACATGTGTCCTACCTCTGCAGGGGGATTGATTGGACCTGGACAACTCTTGATCCCCCTCCAACTCTTAGATACCGAAGAGGCCAAACCGAGATGGAAGACTATGAGCCTCTTACAGCCGTGTTCCTGTTTTCATCGGTGGGCCTTTGACTTGGTGGATTACAAGCTGCACCCCTTGGGCTTTCCCCAGAGGAAGACAAGGCGGTGTACCCCAGCCCCGCGGGGAAGGGCTGAGAGGGATGTCCGGCACGAAGTGAGTTAGCACGTGAGTTCCATAAATGAATGAGAATTTTCACCCAGGACCCTCCGGTCCAATTCTGACATGCTCCACACTGACCCACCCTGGTTACAACATCCATGGCCACACATGTCAATGTTGCCTAGTGGTTACATCCCTGCAGCTACTTATACAACAGACAAAATGGGAGTTTTGCCATCTTGCCATGTTACAATATTAGTTCCCCCCACTGGAATGGCCTCATGTCCGTCTCTTTTCAACCCATTGTTGAAACCTTGCTGGCCATCTCTTTAGCAGAGACATCTTTTAAGAAAGAATCCACCCCTCTTGTAGGTATTATCTCAAACGCATCGTGACCGTTCTGTACGGCATTTTTCTTGTGCCTTCCCATCCAACATCAGGAAAAGTTGCCTTAAAGTTTCCAACTTTTTTTAACACAAAGAGGGAGGTTTGTAGCATGGAAAATGACTGAAACTGCAATTCTAAGCCCTTTACACAGGAGCAAGCCATGGAAATCAACAGGATTTGCTTAGAAGTGCACTGCCAAAGTTTAGTTGTGGCTGTAAATTCAGCTTGTGCAACGTCAGAAGTGGGATCCTTTTCTCCCATATTCCATGGTGACCGGAAGCAAAACTGAACTGAAAGGGCCGATAAACTCCAAGGCAAGCATTAGTTTGACAGGAATGGCAGGTGTAGCACAGAGATCTTGAAGGCCTGTCAACGTCCATGCAAGAGAAGCTTCAAAAGGCCAGCCTGGCCAGTACACTGCAAACACAAGCGTCATACAGCGTTTTTGGAAAGAAACTAACCAAACATCCAACCCAGCACCAAGAAAACTCTCTGAAATCGACCCAGGAAGGAAGAATGAAATTGACAAAGCCTAGAAAGCAACTTAGGAGCGTGTGGATGTGCGTGGGAGAAAGAGCGCGGAGGATCTTACGGCGCCCATCCTGGACCGTCAGCCTGGGACATCCTGCCTTGCAGCCTCGGGCCCCTTCCGCAGGCCAGCTTCAGGTCAGAGGGCGCACCGAGGACGGACGCTTGCTTAATCCTTCCCTTCCCTCCCCAAACAAAACCCATGTCAAGGCAGGAGCTCTTTCTTCCCACAACTACCAGACGTGCCCCTTATCGCTTTAACCGCCCCCTCCAGGAAAGCAGACCCGAGCGGGGAAAAGTGCGGAAAGGCAGCGCAAAATCAATTCTCCACCGGTCCAAACGCGGCACCCAGGCGGACCTCGTCGCTCGCAGAGGAGCGGCGTGATGGAGTACAAGACAGCCGCCGTGCCTGCTTTGCTTCCAAGGGGCCTTTCCGATGACAGTGAGGGGTTTTCTCCCCAGCACCCCCCATGACAGGGGCAACCCGCCCGGAGATGCAGGAGGGGTGACCCAAGCACGCCCCCCAAGTTCCTGCCAGCCCCTCCTGATACCCTGGCAAGCAGCGCACCCTCTTCCCTCTCCCCCTCCCCACATCAAGCATCGCCGCTCCGCAACAGCTGGAGAGAACCGGAGCCAGCGGAGAGCGCGCCGCTGCCTCCCTCCGAGCAGCGCATCCCTCCGGCTGCAGCCAAAGCAAGCGCAGACTTACGCACATTTGCCTCGCCGCTCCATAAATATTTGGAGGAAGGCGGCGGCGGCGGCGGCGGCGGCGGGCGGGGCGGGGCGGGGCGGGGTGGGGAGCCCAGGTCTGCATTGTTATATCCCCGTCCTCCCAGCCCGGCACAGCCGCCGCTTTCCACACCCCTCCGCCGCCTTCCCCCGCAAGCGAACAATAAGGCAACGCAGCGGGCCCCTCCCCTTCTCGGATTCCTTGCAGCCCCGGTGCGGGCTGGGCTGGGCTGGGCTGGGCTGGGCTGGGCTGGGCTGGGGGGGCGCGGGGCGCGATCGCCAGGGCGCGGCGCCGTTACCTCCAAGGCTTCCAGAGTGACAAAGCTGGCCATGGCGAAGCCGTCAATGATGTCCTCTTCGGGGGAGGAGGACTCCCTGCGCTTCCTCCGGGGGGGCTTGGGCCGGGAGGACGGCGCGAGCGGCGGCTGGCCATTGTTTTCAAGATCCGAGCCCGAGGAGGAGAGAATGGAAGGCGCTCTGGTCCAGCGCGGCGCCCCGCGCTCGGCTCCGGCGGAGACACCTTGTAATCCGCGCTGGCATCGCCTCTCCCGGTCGCGCTGCGATCTGGACCTCCGCTTTTGGCGAAAGCCGTTGCAGAGTGCGGCTCCGTCCATGGCTCTTTTTTCGCACCCCCGCCCGCCCGCACAACCCCCGCGTGCCTGCCTTATCCCTCCCTCTTTCTCCCCCCCTCCAACTTCGGTTCCCCCACCCCCCGGTGGAATAGGGAGGGAGGGAGGGAAGGAGAGAGAGGAGGAGAAAGAGGAGGAGAAGCACGGGGGCCGAGGGGGGCAACCAGGAGAAGAGACTCCCAAGGAATGTGAGCGAGGGGGTGTGGGCACAGAACGGCGAGGGTCTTCCAAGCGTAAACCCGGGAAAGTAATGGCTGACCAGTTCTTTTTATTGGTATATTCTGTATTTCCTTGCACCTTCAACAGCAAAAAGCAACGAGCGTAAAGGTATGCCTTGATCCAAAGGCAGAGAGACGTTGCCCCCCCCTTTTACAATTTTTAATCCATCGGGGGTGGGGTTAAAAAACCCAACAACTATTGCTCGGCCACGGAAGGTATTTCCTTTCTTCTTTTCATGTTTGCAAAATCGGAGGCGGCGATCCCGCGAGGAGGCGGCGGCGGGGCGCCGGGGAAAAACGCAGGAAAAGCGATCGAACTCTTTCCCCACCCCGCGAGGGGCGTCGGAGCGGCGGAGCGAAGTTGCTGGCCTCGCGGGGGTTGCGCCTTGTCCGCTGCACGCACCGGGAGCTCCGCGTCAGCCAGGCAGGAGCAGCAGCAGGGCGCCCGACGAAATGGACCAGAGCACCTGGAGGATGCGAAAGGACCCCTCCGGGCGCGCGCCCGCCCGCCCGCGCGCACGCCCCGGCCCCGGGCCGCTCCCCCGCCCCGGCACCGCCCCCCGGCCCCCGCTTCCCCCAGCCGAGCGCCGACGGCCCGCAGACGCGCCGCGCGGCAGCGGCTCCAGCTCTCCGGCGAGCCGGCGGAGCGCGCAGCAGCGGGACCGCCGCACAAAGGAAGGATCCGGGCGCGGCGCGGGAGCTGCGCGGGAGCAGCCCTCTCCCCGCCCCCGGGAGGCGTCTCGGCGCGGGGAAGGGGTCCGGGCTCCGTGCGGCTGCGTCCCCGCCAGGGTGGCCGGCTGGCCGGCAGGCCGGGTGGGTGGGTGGCTGGCCGGACGGGGACGGGCGGCGGCAGGGGGCGCCCAGGGCAGCCCCCCGGCCGGGGCGACTTGCGCCGCGAGCAGAAGCGATCGCGCCTCGGCGGTCCGCGCGCGCCTCGCGCAGTGGCGGCAGCGCCCGCCGCCCTCCCTGCCGCCGCCGCCGCCGCCGCGGTCCAGCCCATCCGCCGCTCCCTGCCTCTCGGAGCCGCGCCCCCCCGCTCCCCCACCAGGCACGTGACGAACTTTCCGCCGTCCTTTCTCCGGCGGCGTGAAAGAGAGCTCGCCAGGCGGCACGAAATAAGTCGCAGCCATGCGCGCCGCGGCTGCGCACTGGTTGACCCCCGTCCGCCTCGGCGAAGGAATGAATGGAAAGAGAATTCTCGCGGGAGCGCGGGCCCTTTAAGGGGGAAGGGGCGGGGCCCGAGGAGGAGGGGGCCGCCCACGGGGAGGGGCCACTTTCCCTTCCCACCTCCCGCGGGGGCATCTCCGCCTGGAGCAGGAGCGGGCGCGAATCTTGCAGCCGCGGGAAGGCTTGGCAGCGCATCCGCTCAGCTCAGTTCAAGTCCGTGCCCTCCTCAAGCGCGCGTGGCACAATAGGCGGGCTCCCCGTGGGGGGGCAGAGAAGCCCCTCCAGCCCTGGCTGCACTTGCTGCAACAGGTTCAAGGGTTAGAAGAAGAACGGCGGGGCTGTCCAAGCATCGGTTCGGTCTACAGGTGGGAATGGTGCAGGTCAGGTTGCGGGAAGGGAAAGAAGTGAGGCTGGGCATGCGAACCTGAAGTTGCACCTGAGAAAGGTCCCCTGAACCGGATGTGCCCAGCCATTCTCTTTCCAACTGTGCCGAAGACCGGAACCTGAAGAAAATGGGTGCTTTGGAAACATGGTACTGGAGAAGAGCTGTGCGCATACCGTGGACCAAACAGAAAGACAAACAAGGGCTCTTAGATCAAATCCAGACCTTTCCCTGGAAGGGAAATTGGCCAAACTGAGGCTGTCCTACTTTGGGCACATCGTGAGAAGGCCAGACGCCCTGGAGAAGACAATCATGCTAGGGAAAGTGGAAGGCAGAAGAAGAGGGGTACACCAACGAGAAGATGGATGGAATCCATCCAGGAAGCCACCGCCTAGAATTCTTCAGAGCCGAGCAGGGCTGCCATGGAAGGGACTTTCGGCAGGGCGTCACTTGCAAGGCCTCCATCACTCAGAGATACCTTGATGGCCTGTACCAACAGATGCTTTTAGTAGGCCTTGCCTGTTTATCTAAGGATAGTGTGGTCATCAGAAACGTGCATAGAGCCAGGGCAAAGAAGCTGGTGACCTCCAGATGCTTCTGGACCACAGCCCTCCTCATCCTCATCCCCCAGCCCTCTTGGCAGAGCATGGTCAGACCTGTGGTCCAACCCATCTTGAGGGCACCAAGCCACAGAAGGCTGTGTATAGCCAAGGCCGGCCTCCAACATGGCATCAACGCCAACGTCAACTTCCACTTGCCCACATTCCCCCTCCGTATTTCAGTGTTCCGTCTTTTTCACAGCAACACGGCTGAGCATAGGCTTTCCTGACAATAGACAGACAAGGTCACGTTGGCCATGTTACATTCAAAGTGTTAAGTGAGCAGTAGGTGAGTGTTGTCAGAAATGGACTAAGCAGATCCAGACACAGTTCTTCGCCCACCCATGAAACTTGATGGATGGCCCAGTGGCGCCACTGCTCTTGGAGCTGGGCCGACCATGCGTGGTGGAGATGTCCCTATAGCTTGGAGTCCCTTCGAGAAAAGACAGCATCAGTATAACTCTCCCTAACTTCTAGGCTGTGGTGCACTCTGCTGACCTAGTTGGCATGCTACAGCTTATCTGTAATTAATTTGGATTCTTCATTGGTGTCTGGATTAATTATGATACGGAACCTGTAATTATTCAATGAAGAAATTAATTACAGAGTGGAACCGAGCAGTTCGACGCATCCCTCCCTTCAACTGGTCACTTGCAGCCATTGTGAAGAACCTCCGCAGGCAAAAATGTTGCGCCAAAGGTGCTCTAAGAAAGGTTTCTACATGCAGCTGGAGGCATGAGCCATAGGAAAGGCGCGCCCCATGGAGGCCATGTGCGGTTCGGCTGGTCGGTCCTCCAGTGCGTATACAAACCTGGTTTGGATCAAAGAGCAGGAGAGCTGGAAGCAGCCGAAAGGCCACTGGGTCAGGGCAGGACTCCAAGTTGAACCATCCCTCTGAGATGGCTTTCCAGCTGCATCCTGAATGCTTGCGCTGTGGGAGAGCCCCCCACCTCCCTAGGTCTTTGGTTCCATTGCCGTACTGCTCTCTCTGTCCGAAAAGTATTCCAGATATCCAGCCAGAGCCTGGCTTCCTGTAACTCGACCCTATTATTCCGTGTCCTGCACTCTGGGATGATGGAGAAGAGATCCTGGCCTTCCTCTTTGTGACAGCCCTTCAAGGACTTGCAGATTGCTCTTGCATCTCCCATCAGCCTTCTCTTTTCAAGGCTACGCATGCCCAGTTCTTTCAACCTCTCCTCACAGGGCTTTGTCGCCAGTCCCAGGATCACCCTTGCTGCCCTCCTCTGACCCCTTTCCAGTTTGGCTGCCTCTTTCTTCAACTGTGGTGCCCAGGACTGGACCCAGATGAGGCCCAACCAGGGCTGAGCAGAGGAGAATCAGGAATTTGCGTGCTTTGGAAGTGATCCTTCCGCTAATGCAGCCTAAAAGAGCGTTTGCTCTCTTTGCAGCCACATATCAGTGACTCCTCATATTCAGCCTGGAAAAGTCCTGCTTCTTCTGAAGAGCCCTGTGCCTAATTTTCAGTGACATATTACTTGAAAGAGGCAGACATAAGCACACTTACTGGAAAATGAGTGTGCCATTGAACTCGGGGAGATGTCTTTCTGAGCACACACAAGGCTCGCTGTTGCATTGTGTGTGCACAGCCGGCAAGTAAAGCTGCTTCACGAGAGAGCTCTGTGGAGCCCCACTTAAAACCACCTCTCCCCCTGCAGGCTGGAATGGAGGACACTAGGCAACAGGAGAAGTGAAGTGGTTCTCATGAGAAAGCTAAGCCGCCACCTCTCTCTCTTTCCCACTGCACGCTGCCCATCTTCCCCCACTGCACCAGCATGAAACTACCCGCTGCCCCTTGAGGGGCCGAGTAGGAACTCTCGGGGTTGATTCCTCACTGTGGCTGGCTTTCGGGAGCTGGCTTTCCTTCTTCCTGCTCTTTCTGCTGTCAGACCAGTGGGGGCACAGATTCATAACCTTATTCTTGCTATGACATTTCTATACTGCCCGTAGCCGAAGCTCTCTGGGTGACTTAGCACAATATTCATAGACTCGCACACTCAGGTCACCCATCCAGATTCTATCCCAGCCTGGCCTTGCTTAGCTTCCAAGATGAGGCAGGATCAGGCACTTCAGGCTATAAGGAAGCTAGGCTGCTTGCTATCCTTGTTGTCACACCTGGCCTGAAGGTAGGCAGGCTTGGAGAGAAGGCAGATGAATGTCCTGCAACATCTGGATGGTGGAGAACCAGTTTCTGGTGGACTTCTCTTTACTGTCCACATTGGATGGCTGGAGGAGAAGGAAAGCCCTTGGTGTCTCAAGGCTAGAAGCATCAGAGAAAGACCACTGGTCCATCTAGACCAGCACTGTAGACATGGGCTAGCAACTAAGGCTCTCTTGGGTTTCAGACAGAGGTTTTTTTAGCCCTCATGGAAAAGCCAGGGACCTTGGCAGGTCAACCATGTGTTCTGTCACTGAGCCAGAACCCTTCCCACCAACAGATCTCAAGCACTGCCCGGTGGGAATGGGATGAAGCCCCAAAGAGCAGCTCCGTGTGACCTTCTGGCAATGAACCATACAGATGGTCCGAAATGGCAGACGCTTCTTCAGGAGTACTTAAAACCAGATTCCTACACAGAGCAGGGGTTGGACTTGATGGACCCC